GTAAATACAGAATATTTATATACTTGAAAATTTTTTTTCTTATAACACTGGCCCACTGCTATATAATATACCTGGGTTTTTTGTAAGTTTTTTGTTGGGTATTTTGTATTAGACCCCAGTATTTTGGTTAGTATACTAAAGTATTTATATATATTTTTAGTATTAGTAATTTTATTAGCCAAACCAAATTTGTTTAGCATTTTTGGCCAAAAAAAGCATATACAGTAAATTTGGCAAAATTGGCTATTTTTTTGGCCAGCCAAAAATATGTTTGCACAATATAATAATTCTACCTTATCTGCAATATAATTCTACACAATTTGTATAAAATAAATATTATATATAATATATTTTAGATAATTTGATATTATATGATATAGCTATAATATATCAATATATTAAATATACATTAGTATAAGTTACATTCTAGCATAAAATTTGGATTGAGATTTTAGATTTAATAACTTAAGATTTAAGATGGAATTAGGATTTGGCCAGAGTTTGGAATTATGATAGCCCAAATAGGTTTGTCCAGTTTGGGATTTTTTTTATATGGAATTTGGGTTTAGGTAGGATTTTAAAAACTTATAATTTGAGAGGTGTGGTAATTTAGTGAAGTAGTGGAGTTGTCACACCTCAGACAGCAGGTCTAGAGTTCAAATCCCACAGACAACATTTTCGAAAAATAGCTCTGTGATATGGTTAATAGCTATTACTATTGGTTGGATCCTAATCTATAACCTAGATCACACCATCTAGAATGGGAGCTTTAGCACATATAGAATATAAATACTGAAATATACTTATCAAATTATATATACATACTGTATATACTGTATATACATTTCAAAAACTTTGTCAGTTGGTATAGTACTATATAATCCTGTTGATCTTATTTGAAAAAATATAGAACTTACTTTCTCAGATTAAGATCTAATATAAAAATTCTGTTGTTTTTTATTAAAAGCACACAATTGTTAGTAAATAAGTAATGCAATTTTGATTTTGTAATATATGGTATTTACTATAAATCAGTAAAGTTTGTGCAAAATAATATAATAAATATGTAAGATTATAAAATGTATAAAAGAAAAAAAAATTTGATTCTTTCAAAAAGTAATAAGCAAATATATATACCAAGTAGTATCTTTATATATGGTGTTTTGTGTAGAAGTGGAAAGGTATTATTAGTATTAAAGAAAAAAAAAATACTGTAGCAAATACATATTAAAATCTTATCTTTACAAACATTAAGAGAGATTCTTATTTCATCATTTTTTTTTATTTTTTCTATCATCATACAATAAAATGCCACCAGTAAGCAAACGTGTTTATCAATTACAGAAAAATATATCAATTGCTTGCCAAAAATTACAAAATTTAAAAAATATTAAAAGTAATAGTGATATTAGTGACACTGAAGTACTCAAGAAAAATATATTTATAGATGAAGAAAAGGCAGAAGCTATTAGTAATGTGTTTAAAAAAATAATTAAACAAATAAATCAAAAACAAATAGTACTGTATATAAAAAACATCTGCTTATTTATATTAGAAATTCTGAAAAAACATGTTGGTGAAAAAAGGCTAAAAGCAAACAAGCTACTACAGGAACGATTAATATTACAACTTTTTTTTCTAAAGATGAAAAATTCAATCTAAAAGTAGTGATGAAAAAAGCCAGGATTTAGATTGTATTAATATAGAAAATAACCAACAACAAAGTTTTGAGAATAATCAACAACAAAGTATTGAGAATAATCAGCAACAAAGTATTGATGATATAATGATAAACTTGGAAAAGTTGAACTAGTGCATCATCAATCAGTTATCTGGTACTTGTATTTACTATAAAGCAGAAACAATAAGAAAGATTCTAGTAAAACTGTTGCAACAGTTTGTAACAAAAACAAATATTATGCACAATGTATAAGAAGATGAGCTACTATATGTTTAAAAAATAATTATTATATAATATAAAATCTTATGTTTTTTCAAAGATCTTACTAAAATATAAATTCTATTTAATATTAATATTATCAATAGATAAATCTTTACTTTAAAGTTTTCAAAAAAAATATTTATCTAAATCATTTCTTCACAACAAGGCTATATCTATGTATATAGCAACTTATCTTAGATCAATAAAATTTCTTATCTAGTAAAACAGTACTTTGAAGAAAAAGTAGTTCCAAATCTTAGATTTACTACACCACAAATAATTAGTATTAGAATGGTACGAAGATGGATAAATCTCTTAGGTTTTATATATAAATAATATTACATAAGAATTTTATATTGATAGACATGAGTGTCTTAATATCATTGTATACCAAAATCAATTTTTAAAACTAATAGAAGAATTTGATTTGTTAATGTCTAAATAGCTAGATAAGGAGTGTAAAATAAAAATATTACCCAGATTACTTTCAAATCAAAAGCTTAATATGTTAATAATACATGATGAATCAACATTTCAAGCATATGATAGAGTATATACCTTTTGGGGACCAGATAATAAACAACTTCTGAAAAAGAAAAATTTAGGTGCAGGTTTACATGTTAGTGAATTTTTAGTAGAGGATATTGGTCGATTAAAGGATGATCTAGAGGAAGCCCGAGTAATTATAGCATTAGATGCAAATTATAATAGGTATTGGGATAGTAGTAAATTGTTGATTCAAGTACATAAGGCTATTAATATATTTGAATGCACACATTCAGAAACTATTAGAATTTGGGCATTCGATAATTCAACAATTCATATAGCAATAGCTCCTGATATATTAAATACAAATCAAATAAATTTGTATCCTAGAGGTAATCAACCATTAATGCATTCAACAATATAGAATAGTAATATTCAAAAAATGGTTTTTTTTCTTCTGATTATAAAATTGAAGAGTTATGAGGTCAAGCAAAAGGTAAAAAAAAATATTTAATTTGATTTTATATAAACAAGCATACTGTATATATACAATTATAAAAAAAAAATACAAAAAAAATATATAGTAATCAAAAAAAACTAATAAAAAATTAAAAAAAAAACTACTAATGCCCGATAACAAAAGTTTGTATTAAATATATTATTTAATTACTTATTTTATTTATTTATTATAATTAAAGAAATGAAGGCTGTTTTGCAAGAATGAGGGTTATGAAAAGAAGGATTATTAGCCAATTGTAGAGGTGGACATACAGGAACAGAATACTGTACATGTCAAATACTTTTTAACCAATCTGATTTTTTAATACAACAAGGATTGATACAAGAAGAATTAGAAAAAAGGGATCATAAAGTAAATTTTTTTCTGAAATTCCACTCTAAACTAAATTATATTAAAATGTATTAGAGTGCTGCAAAAGAATATGTCTGAAAGCATTGTGATTATCTTTTGCAGGTTTACATTAAATTGTTTCAAAAGCTTTGAATTCAATTCTAGTAGAATGTATTTATGTATATACAAAATTGAGTTATCAATAGATGGATACATATTGATGTAGATTAACAGGAGAAGCAGCTGAATATGCTATTTATAAACATAAAAGTCATAGAAAAATTAATAAAGTAATGCTACAATAATGTAAAGTTGATTTAGTAATAATTTTAATAAAAATTTTAAATATATATACAGTACATATGTATATATGTACAATATTGTTTGCATACAAAGAATTTATTATATAATCAAAATAATATATTTTTATTGGATGATATATATCAATATGTAACTCTGTATATTTTTAAAATTTAGCTACTTTTATATAAAAGGTGTTGATTTATACTATTTCATACTATATTATTAGAATAATAATAATAAGATTTAAGATTTAGAACATAGGATAAGATTTAAAATCTGGGTTTTGAATAAGATTTGAAATAAAGTTTAGAATTTGACAACTTGAAATTTAGAATTAGGATTTGTTTAGTTTTATTGTATCCCTTAATATGTAGACCAACGCAGGCAAATTTGCCTGCGTTTTTACACTTTTTTAGCTCTGATTTACTTTTTTAAAATGCTAAAATATTTAAATAAA